GGGGGGGGGGCACCATCGGCCCGGGCGTAGAACATTGCAAATACAAACGCGTCACTGTCTTTTTTCCCCCCGGAATCTGATCATTTTTACAATGATAGACTAGTCTTGACGTAGATCTACGTAATGAATTGTGTGATGGTCTAAGGAATCAAAAGTTGCCGTATGCTAGGCTCACAGCAACACAACTTTTTGGCAAACAACCGAGATGACACGGGCTAGCATTTGAACGAATCAGTCTTTTTTTTTTTCACAGCTCATAATATGCAGGCATTCAGGCACCACTTGTTACTTTTCTTTATACATTACTTGCTCTGTGCCAGTAATTATCTACACAAAACCTCATGTTTGCTGTAACGAACACTTGGATTGAACGAGATTTTAGACCTTGTTGAATCCGAGTTCCATGTATTAGGTGTCAAGCTAAGTGTTTCAAAACAGTGGGAATTTGCAGCTGACAAACACAATGATTTTTTTGTTTTAACACGTATTTGCTTCCAATATTAGGACACCTTGTACTGCTTCATGCATGACCGATACCTGGTGGAAGATGTGATGTACATGGCTACTCATGACTTCTTGTCTGCTATCACAGAATATAGTGGAATAGACAAGGTTTGGGCATTTTTCTTTTCTTTTTTTTACTTTATTTGACTACTGTGTGCAAGGTTAACAAATAAAAAATGATGGTTTCTCACATTGTACAAGATCATAATAATAAAGTATGTAAGTATGTATTATAATAGTTACAAATTCTGTGAGAAAATGTACTTAAGTAAAACAGTATTGATATATGATAAGAATCATAACATTATTGTAAGCTCTGCTATGCCCATATTATTCCGTTAAAAAGAAATGAGCTACTGGAAAAATTGAGTACATTGGGAGAAATGCTGTAAAAAACAATGGCATAGAGAAAAAAGTAGAGAAATGTAATCTCTTCTTATGTATGGGCACAATGATTTTGATGCAAACTGATTCAGAATTTAAAGAGTGCTTTTAAAGGAAATGAGACGAAAAAATGTATAGTGAGTATAAAACTTTGAGTTTTGAGTATCTAGTCTTGTCATACTCATAAGTTTTCCTCTTTCATATTGGTTCCAAAAGTGTAATTATTACTCTTACATACAAATTTCAGTGTAGAAACAATTTGAAGAATTCCTCATTGATGAATTTCATCAGCCATTTCAATGAGAAGTATCCAAACCACATCATATTCTAATTGTTTCTTTCCCATAGATGCTTCAACTCCTTGGCCATGTCCTGGTTGGCAACTTGGATGCGTCATGTCTCCGCTATGTTCTTCTGATGTGTGACTTCATATCTGCCGTGGACTGGAGAGAAGTGGAAGATTTCAGGGCATTCACATCAGTTGTTTACCCTTTTCTCAATGTAAGAAAAAGAAGAACAGTTCATTTAATTAATTGTTATGTGTGAAAAGTTGATTTTAAATGGCTTGATATTTCATCTCTAGTAAACATTGATTATACAAAGCTAAAATTACTTTTGAAAATATATAAATGCATCATTAACCCTTTCAGGGTATATTAGCAATAAATTGGCCCCAGGAGCTGTCACGTTTTATGTTGTGTGATAAAAGTCATATCCTGGAAGAGTTAATACTTGCTGTAGAGCAATGCCCTGTTGTGGGCGAGGCTTTACTTGTCTTGCTCAAGGAAAAACTGTGGTGGTCAATACTCCAGAAACTATCAACATACAACAACGCTTTAACTCTTTTTATCCAGGCTACGAGTATACTCGTAATGAGGACCAGTCCGGGCTACGAGTATTCTCGGAACAGCGATACGGTCTCGTCAAAGAAGCTAGTTCTGCTTTAATTACAAAAATACGCAAATACGGCGATGCTAGCTCTGCCTGAATATTTTAATTTTCCAATGAACAGTGGTTTCTTTGTTTTTGATGGGTGTAGAAGCTTGAAAGATGTCTCGAAAACGCACATTCACGACCGACGAAGTACTTTTTGAAGTGGCGCTGGTTTGTGAGGGGGAATGATACTAAATTGATGATAGTGACTCTGAAATAAGTGCCGTAAATTCCTTTGTGGATGATAAGAAACATGACTTAGACTCATCTAATAGCGATTTAGATCATGGTGAAGGGGTCAGTACTGGAATCCATGTTCGATGGGTAGGGCTAGATCTAGATCTATAAAAATCCAATGGGACGTTGTGGGCGCGGCAATCAGGGTCAAGTTCGAGGGTTGAATATACTTCAAAATCTACATTGTGCTATTGGTGTATTTCCTAACCACATACATTTACAAAAACTACATTCAATTTCTAACATAACTGCCAAATTTCCTTAAAACCTTAGAGTAAATGTGAGAAGTATAGCACTTTCAACTATACGCACTGACTTCCGACTCATACGGTGCTGCAGCCCCAAGACGGGTACAGAGTCCGTGGGGGTACGGCTAGGATAAAAAGAGTTAAAATTTTCAAGATCACATGTACCTACCATTTCAGCATTAGGCTACAGAGCCTGAACACTTGGTAACCTGAAAAACAGACACAATACTCTCGGCTGTAGAACAACATGAAATTTATACAGTTCTGGAAAAGGAAGTGGTCATCACACTACTTCACACACTAATAGGCAAAAATGGCTCTGCAGCATACTTATAGATTATACTTACTTGTACTTTTCAGATTATAAACTTTCAAATTTGAATAGCATTTTGCTTTATATCTAAAAAATGATTTTTAAGTTATATGGCTTACATAATTGGTGATAAGAGAAATTATGCTGTGCTGTAATATTCAGAGAACAATTTACTCTTAAAAACCTTTAACTTCTAAGACAATGTCTTGTAATGAAGGTCTGGAGCCAACAACTGTTACAGAAACAAGACCCTGTTTTGGGATCTTTATCTTATGCATCACTAAATACTCAATGTCTTTTCAGGAAGATGACCTCGAGAGCCTCCAGATGAGTTATACTTCCTACAGTGAGAACAGAATTTCTCGCCAGAGGGTTTCCTCTTTCATCATCCACATCATACTGAAGTACAGAGAGCCTCGGTTTCATGATGTAAGCTGTCCTAAATAATTGTTTTTGCAGAACAGTGGAAACCACCTTCAATATAATCTTTTAAGTTTTTGTCTTTTCAATTTCATCTTGTTCTTTGCGGTGAAAAAAGAAAGAATGAAGAACCCAGTTTGACAAATTTGTTTGCCGAAAGTCAAGTTCTGTATGTTGCTCTGAGACAATGATAATTGCCACTGAAAAGTACATCTTTCACTGCAAAGGAAACTGTGTAAAATCAGAGCATTGTATTCAACATCCATACTACAACCAGATGCATCATATAGGCTACATTATTCTTATTTACAGAGAATGGACCTATACATAAGGACCCTTTCTTTTGTATATATTTTACTCTCCAGTTATTTCTGTTTGCACAATAATTATTACAGTCATCACATCAGTGTATATTTCTACTCAAGCAAAGCGTTGTGGAGACTCAGTGAGCTTTGGGGATGGGTGTACTTTTATGTCACAGATTGCATCCTCTCAATATGTATGATTACTAATCAACAGTATTACATTTTCACCCTGACAGCTTGAAAACAGGCTGGTGGCCTTTCAGACCAGTGAAGGGGGACAACTGAATGAACGGGAGTTCAAAGAAGCTCTTGACAGCTTGTTGCCCCTGAGCAATGAGCGCACCAGGAGGCGGTTATACATGCAGGCTGAGCGAGCTGTGAGGTGGGACGGCATCATTGCAGCAGTGCCTATCATGAGATTGGCTCGTATCCTTTTATTTTGTCTTTTACATTTTACCTGTATTTTGGACCATCGATCATCAAAAAAAGAAAAGTCTGTCCCCACCCACCTCCCTTTTTCCCCCCGGTAGAATTCTCATTCATTATTTTTAAGCTTGGTAATATTGCTCAAAGAGTAATTAAATCTGGCCATAACTGTTTTGCAACGATTGTTTCATCCAGGTGTTTAGAATAAAGAGAAAGTGGCATAATATGGCAATCACATTTGCTCATTTTTCAAATTGTAATTTTAATGCCTCTGATAACAAAGCATTACCTCACCCACATTTTTTTGTTCTCTTCTGTGTACTCTACTAGGGGGGGGGGGGTTGTGGCGAGGATTGGATTGGGGCTTTGGGGGGGAGGGGGGTGTTGTGGCGAGGATGGGGGTTCTGGGGGGGAGGAGGGGTTGTTGCGTGTTTTTTTGCATCCAAAATGACAGTAAAAGATTTCCTTTCATTGTAGCAAGAAATCTCTGGTTACCTTGCCTTACAGCAGATCACTAATCTGGTAAAGGAAAACGTTGCTGTCAGAGTGGCAGAGTGGAGGGACAGGCCAAGCAGTGCTGGCTCAGGTACACAACGGTTGTCTTGTATGAAGAACAGAAAACATGATATGGATCTATAGTATAGTTCGCTTAAACTGAAACCAGCGGGACAGCTAGATTTTCTTTAATTAGCCAGGTTTTCAATTTCGAGAGGTTGCTCAAATAGAAGAAAATGTTTATTTTCTTTCGGTTTACCGCTGTTTTCGGATGAGCTGTGTGCAGTTTAAGTGGACGCCACTGTATCTTCGTGAAGTGAAGTTTGATTCAATATCCACTTGCTTCTTTCTTTTTCCATGTTCCTAATCTTTTATTAGATCTCAGAGGTTCTGTTCTTACCTTCATTAGAACACACCTGATTTTTCTAAACAATTGTTTATTTTCCAATAGGATCGTTTTGTATTCACTCGATACTTTAGATATGATGCGTAGCTTTAATATTTTTGCTTCTCACACGTGGTTGTATGAATATGAACATGTATCTGAGTACAAAAATAATTATGTACCTTCTTTCTGTTGTCAAAGTTGGTGACTAATAGAGTCTGAAGAAAAGACCATCATTCTCCTACTGCTAAATGTAACAAATATTCTTTCCATATGATCTGTTCCCAGTCCCTCGTCAGGGAGACGTGACTCATGAGATCATAAGTTTCGACAAACTTCTCTCTCTGTCCGATGTGAAACTAATGGCTGCTAATATGAACAGGTAAGCAGTACATTAAAAGGTAATTTTTGATTATTTTTTTACTGTTTATTCAGTTATGGAGTTACCTGAAGCTATCTATTAAGTTTTGTGTTGAGGCTTATTTTGATAAATACAGTAAATAAAACCCGGGGGGGGGGGGCCTGAAAAACTTAGGCGTGCCCATTTCAAACTTAAAACCTGCCTGAAGGGATATATGCTATAACCCATTCAATATGTATTATTGTTGCAAATAGAACTAACTGTAGATACAGTAGCCTGTTCAGTTGACATGACCATATTTGTACAAAAATCAGCACATCTTTGAGAAACCCTAAATTTATGCTGTTCCTCATATATGTGTACACTCATTGATTCATTCTGTCTTGATTTCAGACAAGCCAAAAACAGGGAAGAAAGAAAGACAACTTCATCTCAAGATGATGATGAAGAAGACTGGTGAACAGAAAGCTATTTATAAAACTATCCAAAAGAATTGATTGAAGGATACATTGCTCATAGATTAATAAAGACAAGAGTACAAATACATGTCACTTTCAGTTTCATTTCTATTGCAGACCCTGAGCAAGTGTATAGCTTGGCTCCTTAGCTGAAAGCTTTGTTACAGTTTATGCAAACTTTTGTCTTTGGTTCATTATTATCATTGAATGGTTAGATCATTATTTTGTTGTAAACAACTTGTATTGCTTTGAATTCATCAAGGGCAATGAAACACTGACATTCTTTTGTCATGAACGTTTTCTCTTTTGTTACTTTACTTCTTGTACTTCTATGGAATTGATGTTGATAGAAGGAATGGAAGAATAAACTTAATAAAGAGCAAAGAAATGCCTTTGCTAATTTCCTTCGCCATGTAGACATGGATGCCCATTTGTTTGCAACTTAATAATGCAGCACAGGTCAGTAAAGATAACAAACATGACCAAGATGGACTTGCTTTGTTTGAAAACATGGTTATAGTCAGATTTTGTTCTTATTGACTGAGACCGTCTTAAGACCCTTGCAAAGGAAGATGATGTGAAACAAAAATAAACAAACTTTGTGTTAACGATCACTAAGTTAGACTCACTCCACATTTTGGTGCCCTCAGTCCGACTTTGTGTCCTTGGGAAAGGCGCTTTACAAGAGTTTTCCCATTTGACTCGCTCCTATAGAGATGAAGGTCAAATTCAGTGGTCCCGTCTCTTAAATAACCTTAAAGTGTTGCAGAGAGTGTTAAACCTCTACTCAGTTTTGCACCTCTGTTGTATATCGTGTCAGTTCATGTAGTGTAGGATTTCCTGTCTTTCTGTTGTTAGAGAAAAAGATCTGATGTTATTGGATGGCGAACAAAAAAGAAATATGAATTACACCTCAGCAAAAAGAGAAAAAAAAATCATGTGAGTTAAAAAGTAAAGTATGGAACATCCGAAATTCCGTTTTTGAAAGAGTGAAACTTTAAATGTTGCATCAATCAAGCCATAGTAGGCCACGAGCCCTGGGTCTTCTGTTTAAGGGGGGGAGTTTGTGCATGCTGCTGCGATTGCTGCTGAAAAACGTAAATTTGCAATGGAGGGCCTGCTTACCAGCTAGTATATAGTACAAGATGCAAAGTAAGCCTCAAATAAAACTTACAAAAAATATGCAATGAAAACCGCACCCATCAGAAGTTGGTAATGTTAATAATTTTCTGCACCTCAGCAACCGACTAGTTTGTGAATTGATGTAAACTTGATACACAGAGGCTTATTCAGAACTATTCATTGATAACTGCTCGAAAAGTCTGCTTGCCATTATAATGCATGACATTTCACAAACAAAAACAGTGAAATTTTCATGCTCTGCCTTTACTGTATTTAATAAATTATTCTGAGCAACATAAAAATTTTCCTTCATACTCATACATCCATTTCTTGCTACTGTCATCCATACTATGCTTTTTCGCCACTTTGTCTTTGGTGTGGCATACATTAATGTATGACTGTAAGTAAAAGGAATTAAAGATTACCATTTTAAAGAGTTAATAGCTTTTTATCTTGAAAATTCTTCATTTTTTGCCAGTTTATCACGAACCTCATTATACCGCCAATCTTGGGATGAGCATGAAGTTTGGTGGAACAGAGGGGCTGGCGGGAATAACAGGGTTCTCATAAACTAGTGTTTGTAGCCTAACACTAACATCAAGGGAAATGATTGTTCTGTGTAATCCACAATTAAAAAGTGTCTTTTTGTTGGTTGATTCCATGCATTTACTGATTTAGGGCCAAGTCTTCTCTCTCCCTCTCTCTCTGTTTATGAGCATGTGCACGAGTGCAAAATCAAATTGAAAATTACATGCTCTGTCGGATCAGAGGCTATTATTACATGTATTAGAAAAGGTTGTTTTCTTTAGTAGAGGTTTTTTGGCGCTCGCAGCTGCATACGGTCATATGAGCGCCAGAAGATTAGAGGTGTTACAAGAGAGTAACAAACATTAAAAAGAAGAAGGGGAGATAAGGACCATAGACGTTTCATAGGAAAGAAGAAGCAAATCACACCAGAGCACCCGCCAACCACACACTTAATAAACGTTTGTGACCGACAAATTTTGACAAACCCATTTTGCCTGAAGTCTATTAGTCAGTCAAGGGTGGGGAGGGAGCGAACTGACATCAAGCTCTAGCTCACAGTAGTGTGTGTAATTAGTGGAAAATGAAAGTGGAAGAATATCGCAGCACAGCTGCCAAGAAGTTCCTTCCCTCGTGCGCTGTGTGTAGCTCACAAGGCCAGAGATTGCCACTGGTCAACTGTTTTTGATTCCTGTACAGATAGCAAGGATCATCAGCAAACTTGGTAATTTTGTTCCCAGAGCACACTGTACTTTCCTCAGATCCCGATCTGATATGGTTTGACACATTTGAGTTTGAGGGAAACCACATTTATCTCCTTGGACTAGTTAGAGGGTCAAAAGCTACCATTTTGGCACACTTTGTTCAAATCTTCACAATCTTGTTTGTCTCCAGTTGGACCAAGCCAAACGGCTCGGAAGCCATGAAAACAACAAAATGACCTGACTCGACTTCAATATTCATGAGCGCTAAGTCAGGGATTCAAACCCAGGCCATCCAACATGATACCAAATGAGCTAAGGGAGCACCCAGGAAAAAGTTAAAAACTCAACTGTGACTGTCGTGTTTGAGTAAAGGGAAACACACTGAATCTGAAAAGTTTTAGTTTAGTTTTAGTAGAGGTTTTACAGCGCTCGCAACTGCATAAGGTCATATGAGCGCTAGAAGATTAGAGGTGTTCCAAGAGAGTAACAAACATAAAAAAGGAGAAAGGGAGATAAGGACGATAGATGTTTGATAGGAAAGAAGAAGCACACCACATCAGAGCACCCGCCAACCACCCACGAATCTGAAAAGAAAAATGCCACTTACTGCAGGGTAAAATTAAAGCAAGAAAAAAAAAACAGGTAAAGAGAAGAAATATGACCTGCCAGCTGGCCTACTAAAGGCACCTACCGACCACCCATCAACGATCACAAGATATGGAAAGCTTGCTGAGCTTTACTATACAATACTCTCTGAGTAAAGAGAAGCACATCTTCACAATTTGTCATTTGGTACTGAAAGAGCAAGACAGAAAGTCATGAACAACAGTGGGAAAGAAAAGAAGTTAAGTCATTGTAACATATAAAGGTGAGACTAATTCTAGAGAGAAGATAAATTTTTAACGAGTCAAAAGAAGCTCATTGACAAGAAAATGGTAATTTAGTGCAGGGTAAAAACAAAGCGGAAACAAAGGGAAAGAAAAGACGGACCTAACAGTGGCACCCACAACCACCCATAGAAGATACCACAGCAATCATATTCTTAGTTTTAGAAAGAGTCTTATGGCACATGCAACACAAATAGGTAATATAAATGCCGAAATTCAGAGGCTTCGCTAAAGAGATGGGGAGAGAGAGGGAGAAAGAGAGAGAGAAAACGGGGGGGAGGGGTTCTTTTTTTAAGCAAACTAACCACAAACAAAAATCCACAAAATTTTAACACATATGCAGAACATCATCATTATTTTTATTAACATATGTAATGGCCAAACTCCACATGAAAAAATCAGAAGATGCTAAAAATAAGAGACAGGTGAATGATGTGTAAGTGGCTTCCGTTGGTTTTTGTTTTGAAAGTATCACATGAGAACTAAAAATGAAAGAAAATGAAACCCGATAAGCCAAAATATTTTACATTTTCTACAAATGGTGAAAAGTAGTGATCACCTTTTCTACCACAAAACGTTAATCAACACTATACAAATGAAAAGTTATCAAATACTTCAACAAACTAAAAAAAAAAAAAAACAATTTGAGGGTTTTGCTTTACCAGTCACACTATTCAAAATACAAAAAGTGCAAAAATGCTGAGTAAAGACAACACACATTGTTACTTCATGAAGCTATTCGCTAAGAGACCGAGAAGCCCTTTTAAAAGCAAAATCAAAATTCAAGCTCAAAATGCAGAAGTTTTGGTAAACAAATGGTTTCATCTTTAGATTCAACTCATTTCGTAAAATACTGCCAGTTCCATCGTGCAGTTGTACCACTCGTCCAGCAGCTTCAGAACAGAAAAACATTTCAAACATCAACACGAACATTTTATTTCTCCTTCTGATACTGATATTCAAAGACCATACATATGACCACCACAGGACAGTAACAATGAAGACCAGAGCACTTACACTTAAGAGCAAAAAAGAAAAACAATCGAAGTAGCTTCATCTTTTGAAGAAATTAAACAAATCCTTGCATCAGGCGCAATCAATCCAATATCGAGTGGCGTGGACTCAGTTTGTTCACATTACATGACCATATATATAAAATCAATACTTCCACAGTGGTTAATAGATCCAACATCTTGCTCCCATCTACAAGACGGTGAAAGCATACGCATCTAAGAGAAGAGTATATTTTTGCAATCAAAACACACTTCACACACGTGCACATCTGCACTTTAAAAATTCATCAGTTTTTTTCAATTGGGAAAACACATGGAACTTTTCAAACCAAGACAAGTCTTCAAAGTTCCTCAATGGAACGCTTCAATTAATAAGCCACAATCAAAGTATATTTGGTACTACCGCAACTAGCACAATAATAACAACACAAATTATCACAATTAAAATAATTACGGCAAGGTAAAGGAAAAGAACTTAAATACTTGAGAGGGTAATATGAGCAAGTCAAATAAAACGCACCACATTAATAATTATAATCCTTAACACATGGATCAAAGCATCTGTTCAAGCCTAGATCTAAACCTTTTTGACCAAATCCTAATATTTTTTTTTAAAAGCAAAAAAAAAAAAAAGCCTACAATTATTTCCATGATGTAACGACACTGGGGGAAAAAAATCAAGCTCATAATCTATTCATATTAATGGTAACACCACACAACAAGTCAGAGGTTTAAAAGACTGTAGGTAGCATTCCCATGCATTTCACTATATCAAACCGCGTAAAAGCCTTTTCAAACAATACAGATCTCACATTCCTTGTTTACACAAGCTAACCCAACATGTGAAATAAAAAAAAAACCCAAAAAACCAACAAACAACTCCCAAACTTCTCATCAGAGGGTTATATCACTGGGGTAACAAAGTAAACTTCAAAAAATTGGATTAAAAGACAATGTGTGCCAAGTCAATAATAAACAAATAATACTTTTTTTAATGTATACATATGGTTCAGCTACGCTATAAAAAATAGAATTATGAAATTACAGTAACCAAAAATTCTTGTTCCCAAAAAACACATTCTGACACTTAAAGTTTGAACGTAACTGGAATAACAAAGATAATTCCTTTGTCATTTTTCACTATATATTTCTTGACCTTGCCAATGTTCCCAAGGAACAACCTGAAACCCTTACATTCTTGTCTTTTGCTTCTCTAATCCTCGCCTTAAAGACAGGAGAGAAGCACTTAACATTACTGTGGCAGCAGAGTGCCCAAGAAATAAACAGAGAAAACGGACCCAAGTCAGGCCAACCTGTCGAGTTCCCTGAAGGCAACTGAAGTAGCCTTGACAACCCAAACATTACTTTTGAATGCCCACAATGAACCCTGATTCTTTCATACACTTCCCATGTATATATATATATTCTAGTACATAATCAGGTAATTTTACAACAGTCAGTACTGATCTGAGCGATAATAGTCACTCCAGACTCAGTGCCGAGATTTTGCATAACAATTACATCACATACTTGTACTTAACAAATCCATCCAATGTTTACACCTGTGCACTAAAAAAATGCAGCCTGGTGTACAGCAATGGCAATTTTTTTCCATTACTACTTAAAATAAAAGAGCACTGCATCGTCTTTTTCAAAATCAAGGGAAAACAGACAGGGAGAGAAAAGAACAAGAAAGATAACCAAAAAAAACCTCTTTTCAAACAGGTTTTTAAAAATTCCTCTTCATTATAATCCAAACACCAATGTGATGAATTGGATGGTGGTAGACCGCTTGAAGTTTATGAATTCTTGACTTTTCCACCGTCACCCTCAGAAACAAATCGCTTACGGCCCCTGTTGAAAAAGAAGTTACAGTAAAAAATTATCAAAACGGTTCATTTCTCATCTTGAAAAAACTATGATCAGGGGATCTGTATGAACATACACAATTTCAACCTCTGGTCTAAGAAGTACGACATTTATGGCACTTGAAAGTTTTTCACAACACTGAAAATTGGAACAGTTAGGCCTCGTCAATCAGATATGTACCGCTAATATCATATCCAGCACACATGAAAGTGAATTCATATAAGTAAGCTGATGACATTCAAGTCGAGTGCTTCAAACAGAAATAGCAGGAAAGTGAGGAAAATTCTAAGCAGGGGTCCATCGTCCAGGGACAGCAAAATCCCCAGAGAAATTGAAATTCTGTGCTATTAGAGGGCTGAAAATGGGACTTTTTGGGGTCGAAAATGGCATTTGGAAGCCTTTTGAAGAGATAGCCAAGAAGTAATAGTACTTTTTTTTTCTCTTAGAGCTAGTCTTGTTTCATCTGCTTTTTTCATCTACACCTAAAACATATTGTAACCATTGAACAAATTTTAGATGCAATACCTAAAGTTCCATTTGCTATTGCCACTAAAATTCAATTGATCATCGCATCATTGAAAATATTCTTAAACAACCCAAATTTTCCAGCCCAATAATATTTTGAAGATGAACAATAGAATTAGTGAATGACAGAATGGTGGAAATTGTCAGAAAAATTTTGATTATGTCACTAACCAGATTTTTAAAAATTTGAAAGTAAAAATGTACTGCCGACCGACCTGAGATGGAAGTGTAGATCGATAACAACTGAGCGCACAAAATGTGCAATCTAGCAGGTTTCTAATACTATTTTGTTACTGAAAGTTACCCGATATATCAGAATTTACCCAAGGAGAGAATATAAAGCAAGTACAGAACCTTTTTTATGGAATGTCCATGGGCAACAGTATCGGCAAATTTTTACGGATGGAATTGATATGATAAGGCAGCAAGTATAGAACTTTCTGGACGTACCAATTTTGGTAAAAGTACGGAAGATTGGAAGCATTGGATTTTTTTAATGTGAGGAAGTTTTTACAAGGCCAAAATAAAGAGCACAGACAAAAAAATCTACAAAAGACAGACAGATATCCATTCACTTACCTTTGTGGTACTTTCTGAAGAAGAGCATCATCAATTATCTTCTCCTTGTGGCACAACGTGGCAAACTTGTCCAAAATTGAGTATGCATTAGGGACATCCAAACAAATGTCCGCAATGTTGTCAAAAATACGCTGGAATCCCTGCAAGAATAAACAAGTGGGAGCAACATTATCACTTCTGACGACATCAACAGATATTGAAAAGAACTTAGTGACCAAAAACTATTGACTTATTTTGATTAACTCCGAGAGGAATTTTACTGTAGTAAATAGTGAAACGACCAACATATATTCAATAGAAATTCTAGAATGTTCACAATCTTAAGAAGCATAATTTGACTCACAATGAGACAATTGATTACCAAAAGGAGTTGCCAACAGACAATAGAAATGAATGCTTTACAGCTACTACAACGTGCCTGCCAAACTGGCTTCAACATTTTTCAAAGTTGGCCATTCATTTTCCAGGAGTGCAAACAAGTGAACTAAGAACTAAACTCATGTTCACAGTTCAACTTGCATTTTCTTTAAATTCCTGGACATTCCAGGTCTCTGTGACTTTTATTTAAATTCCCAGGTCACTCCTGGACCCCCCATTTCCAAGGCGTCCAAGTCATTTTGCTACTAAATCAATATCAACATTATGAGCAACTGCTGTTGGCAAATTTTAAAAACTATGTGAATTTAGAATTCTTTTTTTTAAACAAGCAGTCTTTTAGACCTTTTTCAACAGGTCAAAAGATAAATTCAGGAAAATTTAAAGAATAATCAAATTTACCTGATTTAGTTGGTCTTGTGTGACAATGATTGCATTTGACAATGACTTAAGGAGCTTCACCATCATTTCAGCTGCCCTGTCCGTTGACTTTTCAAACACCATGTTTATTGCCTGTACAAAAGGAATGAAAAATAGAATTTCACAAAATTAATAAAATGCTTGCGCAGAACAATGAATATTCATATAAGCCATTACATAATACCAACAGATACAAATCTTCAAACATACAGAAGTTCAGCAACCAGTATCTAATACCAACAGACCTAAAATTATTCTCATCCACCACTAGAATTGGTGATTGACACAGAAAGACAATTTTAAAAAGTGACTGGTCAACTGACCAAATTAGTTTTTTGTTTTCCCAAACAGTATGTCTAACAGAATGGCACAAAAAGGCTAAGGAGGTAAACAGGCCCACAAAAAGGTTACACAAACACAAAAATATACGGTGATTGAGAGGTAAGACTTGAGGGGGTGTGCAAAGTGAACTTTGTAATTTTATTCGAAAATTTGAGGGCACAGAATTTACATTAACATGACATATAATATCCAAGTCATGCTACTGATTCGTTTCATCTAGTCTGCGGATAATTACAATATCATAATAAAAACATGCAGAGACGATAGTAATATTACCAACAAGTACGAAAGATTATTCAATACAATGGGAAAACAACTGTTGAATTCTGCAGTCAATATTGATATGCAAAACATTCTAGACTTGCTATGGATGTTCATAAGACAAAAAAGCTTACCTCGTAGACAAGTTCATGATGAAAATGCGGCACCTCAAGATCTTTAAGACATCTTGTTGCTTCAGCAATATCCCCTGATGATAAGTACTCCTGTAACAGCATCACCATCTGCAAAAATACATTGAGCCAACAATCTGCTTTAGTGGGAACCATCAAAATAAAATCAACACCTGAAAAAAGAAAAAATGTCTCAAAATTTGTACTCAATAATTTTCTGAAACAGCAACACGGTTTCTTGAAGTGGCAGTTCTGAAACAGACACTGACAAGCATGATTCACGACTCAATTCTCTGCTTGTATGCTCTAAAAAAAAACAACCACAAAAAACCAAGACGGACAGAGACAACAGTAAGAAATAGAAGTAGGACCTATCAGTAGCACCCTCCAACTTCCTGCAAAAGAGGATTAATATTCACAATAAATTCGCATGATGCAACTAACAACATCAGCATCGACAGAACTCTGCTGAAAACAAGTTAGCAAGTTCACGTATCTTGGCAGCATCTTCTCAGAAGAGAGACGTCTAAACAGAGAAATTGAGACAAGAATACAAAAGGATAACAGCCTCAACTACCATCTTGTCCAACTCTTCAAATATCCTAACATCCCCACTGAGGCAAAAGCCAAGTACATTATCTCTATCTTCACCCCCACCTTGACCTACCAATGAGACATGGACCCAGACCAAAAGACTGGAATGTAAGATAACTATCAGCGAGATGAGAAGTCTAAGGAAAGCTGTCAACAAAACCAGTTGGAACACGATCAGAAACAACAGGATCAGAGAAATGATGAGAACATCTATCCTCCTCTACATTAAGAGGCAAACAATAAGGTGGTTTGAACATCTGACACATACAGCACCTCTCCAGCTTGCCAGGAAAACATTACAAAAAAATATCAGGGTAAACTGCAAGAGGAAAACCTGGATCAAGGTTGTGATGGACACTCTAAAAATACACAACATCCCACCCAGTTAGGCCATACAGCTTTAGTAAGATAGAAAGCTCTTTCTCCCCTTGACACTCTTGAGGTACAAGAGAAGGGATAAAGTAAGTATTCATCTGTTTTCCTTTTTTCACTTTTCGAGTCA